TTGTTAAAAAATTATTATTAAGAAATAGTAAATAAATACCCATTTTATGCATAATTTTTATTTCTCAAAAACAATATTATTCACAAACTCATTTTTTTATTTTGGGAAAAAAAACATTACATATATTCCCGTTTCTTAATATATTATTGCAGAAAATTTTCAATTTTCATAAGGGAATAATTTACATTATTTGAATTTTTTAATTACAATTGTTTTAATACAATTGTAATTAAAAAAAAAAAAAATTTTTTTAAATAAACGAAACAAATGTTTATGAATTCTATTTGTCAATTACAAATTTTCATTGAAATTGAAAATTTTTGAATTTTTAGAAAATAAGGGAAAAAATTTTAATCAAAAAAAAAAAAATGTTCCGTTACACTTTTAAGAATTTCTTTAATTGTAAAATTATTCAAAAACATCAATGATTTATTTTTTAAATAAATATTTAATTATTATTATTTTTCCACGGGAATGAAGACATTTAAAAATTCCAAATTCAAATCTTTTTGAAATTAAACAACTTAAAAAAGTATTTTTGCTATAAAACATGAAGATATCGATTGCTCCGAGTCAAAGACTCGAAGTGATCGATTTCTTTATGTTTTATAATAATTTATAATAATTAAAAATTTATGAAAATAATTGAATTATTGCGAAGAAATTTATAAAAAATTGTAAATAATTGAATTCCTGTTTAATTTTAAATATTTTTCACAATAATTAAATGTTTGTGGACGATTTTATTAAATTTTTTTTTTTAATTATTGAATTTTTCTCGGAAAATTTTATTAAAATAGTAGATATTAAAAAAAAATTGAAATTAGGACAAGAATTTTATTGTCATTTTTGAAAATAATTGAATTTTGGCGAAAAATTTTGTTATTTACAAAGATAATTGGAATTTTGACGAGAATTTTTTTTTTAATTTTGAACATAATTGAATTTTATGAGAAGAATTTTATTACTTTTGAAAATAATTGAATTTCTGAAATAAATTATTTGCAATTTCTCCAAAATTGAATTATTTTAGTGTTTTCAACAAAAATAAAATTTTTAAATTCTAGGTATTATTTTTAAAATTGAGAATTTTATTTGAAAAATGAAGTAAAAAGTTAGCCGCGCGCTTTAGCGCGCGAATTGTTGCTGGTAATGAGAATAATTATAGTAATAATAATAATAATTAATTTCTGAAAAAATTAGATTTTCGAAAATAATAATAATAGCAATAAAGAATATTCAATAAATAATCCGTTCTAACAAAATTATTGAAGCATTGAATAATTTAATTAAAAAATTCTGAAAAAATTATAGTTTTTCGAAAAATTGTAATTAAAATTTCTTCACGATATTTGAAGTATCGAAAATAATTATTTTAAAGATAACGAAAATAATAAAAATTAATAACATACTACAATTATAATACAAAAATTATTAAATTTATTTTCAATTTAACTTACCTAAATTTAATTCAAATTTAATTTAATTATCAAATTACAAATATTGAAATGCTTTCTCTAATCTGTTTGTAAATTATAATTTTCTGAATAATATTTATTCAGACTGTATTTAATCGAACGAATCAATTATTAAATTATTATTATTATACACTTGAGGAGACAGAAAAGGTATTTCAACTCGCATGGTATTTCCCCTTGAAAAAAAAGCAGGTGTTCTTATAATACAAATGTAAATAATTTAAGATCCAATGAATATGTATTTAAACGTGGAGGAGGAAATTTTTTTTTTCACATCTATATTGCAGAGACGCACTTCATGACAGTTGGAAATTTATTTTACAAGAAGTGGAAAATTTTCTATTTTTTCGTTCTAAAAATTAAGAGATAAAAATAATCGTCATTCATTTTAATGAATAATAATAATAATTTTAATTTTTACTCAATATTTTTCAATTATCGAACAAATTTTTATTTTAAAAAATTGTTAATTAAAGCAAATAATATTTTTGTCTTCTGTTTGTGATAAGAAAGGTAAGTTTCTATTACAAATTACTTTTTAAATTTTTGTAATTGTTTTTATAATTTTTCTATGAAGAGTATTGAAAAAAAATTTTTTATTCTATAAAAATATTGAAAGGAAAAAGGAAAACTAAATGAAAGGTAAAAATATATAAAAAGAAAAAAGTAAGAACAGACAAAAATAAATTAGAGGTAAAAATGGAAAAAAATTACGATTAAACCACAAAAAAAAATGTTTAAGAAAAATTCATCCTCTTTATAAAAATCGAATATTTTTTTCCGTACATTATATTTTTTAATTAATTCTGAAATTCAGATGTAATTTTCCATTTTATTCTCGTTCTCGTCTATATTCATGTTTACGCGGTAACTCACAATTGAGCGAAGAGAATTAGAAACACTTGTGATTAATGTAGTAGCACGTCCAGTCCATGCGGCACTGATAAATAGTATCATTATTTTTTCTTTTTTTTTTTTCTTTTTTTGACAATAAGAATTAAGATTGATAGTTTTCGTATCTAAAATGCATTTGTGTATATATAATTATTAGTCGTGATTGTTATGAAAAGAAACGTGGAAAATTTCTTTCTATTATATAATAAATATATTCTGAAGAGAAAAAACTCAACATTCTTTTATATTTGATAACACGAAAGCTAAAAGCTTTTAATCTTATTATTGCAGCCTTTTTATTTGGTATATTTTTATTTATTTTTTTTTTATTTTTCTTATATTCTATTTCATTCATTATAGATCTACGTGTTTACAATATGAACAAACAGAAGACTTGTTATTTTCTTTTTTCGTTCGCAAGCGCCTCTTTTACTTTTCACAAGAAATAAAAGGGAAAAAAGATTCTATTCATTTCTCACTTCTTTTATTAAATTTCATATTTTCCATGTTAATATTATATTTGTAATTTTTTGTATACATTTATTTTTATATTTTTCATATTTACTTAGAATTCATAGTCTTGCAAAATAAAATATTATTTATTTAATAAATAATATTATGTACATTAAATATTAGTAGTATAACTAAAATTTTCAATTATAATTCGAAATAATTTTGTAATTTTTTAAATTAATTTTATTTGATTTGAATTTTTTTTGTAATTTTCTATTTTTTCTATTTCTTTTCTCTAATTTTGTAATATTTATCAATTTTAATATTTTACAACTTTATTATTAATTTTTCCAATAATATTTTACATCACTTATAGAATTTTTTGGAGAAATTATTTAGTGGAAGAAATTTATCAAAAAAATGGAAGGTAAATAAAAATTTATGATTCTGAACTCTCAAGGAAGGATAGTAATAATAATAATAATATAATTTAATGGTTATTCAAAGTTATAAAATAGTGAGGAAAAGTGGGATATAAAATAATTCGTCTCGGCAGAAAAATGATTTGGATTTTTATACATATATATAGAGAGAGAGTAATATACTTAAGTATAAAGCGATCAGTGCGAAAAAAAGAAGCGAAAAGAAAAATCAAAAAAAGAAAAAAAAATGTTCTACCACTTTATCGTATCCTAACGCAATGTATCCTTGAAAAATAAAAGAATCGCCAGAAGGTCACACAACCTCAGACACTTTGGTTTAGATAATGATGGCTTATCGATTGTATTCCCAAGATAACAAAAACCTTTTATCACAAATTTTTTTCACCTTGACAGCAGCACTACTTTGAGTTAAATAAGTCTAGCGACGCAGCAACAAAATGTCTATTCATCATTTATATTGATACAAAATATTCGTATTTTTAAGCTTCATAAATTACACAAAATAAAGAATATTTTTTGGGAAACGAAATTGTTTTTTTACATCTTTTATTACAATTTTTTTAAATTTATTATTTTATTTACAATTCTCTTGAGAGATTTATTTAAGAGTAAATAAGTAAATTTAATTACAAAAAAGTGAAGAAAAGAAATTGAATAACAAAAAATAATTACAAAAATATTAAAAAAAAAAAAAATTAAATTACAAAAAGTTCCAAAAAAAGTAAGAAAATAAATTAAATTACAAAAAAGCAGAAATACTCGAGATTTACTAAAAAGTAAATAAGTAAATTAAAATTACAACAAATCGTTTGGTTACAAAAATAGTGAAAAAAATAAATAAAATCGTAAAAAAGAAAAAAATACTCGAGATTTATTAAATAGTAAACCAATAAATTAAATTACAAAAAAGTACGAAAAGAAATTGAATTACAAAAAAAAAATTACAGAAATAGAAAGAAAAATTAAATTTTAAAAAAGTAGGTACGAAAAGAAATTGAATCACAAAAAAATTACCGAAACAGAAAGAAAAATTAAATCACAAAGAAGTAAAAAAGAAGAAAAAAATACTCCACATTTATTAAAAATTCAAAAAAGGATTACAAACATAGTAAAAAATAAATAAATAAATTAAAATTCCAAAAAAATACAAAATGTAAAAAAAGAATAAAAAAAATTTGAATATTTTAATAATAACAAAAATAGTAAAAAAATAAACTAATTTTCAAAAAAGTAAAAAGGAAAGAAAAAGTCGAGATTTAGTAAATACTAAATAAATAAATTAAAATTTAAAAAAATTCAAAATGTAAGAAAATAGTTTAAAAAATTCGAAAAATTTAATAATTACAAAAAAAAATTACAAAACCATTGAGAAAATATATTAAATTAGAGAATACAAAAATAAAAAAATAAATTAAATTACAAAAAAATTGCAAAAAGAGTGAAAAAAATGAATAAAATTAAGAAACCTATATAAGAATGAAATTAAATATAAAAAAAATGTTATTTTACAACAACCAAAATACTTATAAAGCAAAAAAAATTCAAAAATGTTAATTATCAAAACAAGATAAATATTTTTATGTCAGCAAAAATTACAATGTTTTTTAAAAATTTTTCATTTTCTTGTTTTTAGGTATTGTCATTTCTCATATTGTATTCGAATGAATTTTGCAAAATATTGTATTCAGAATTATCAAAAGAACTATGTAGTAGCATATATTATTTATTTATGATTTTTACTTAAAAAAATTATAATGCTTGCACGTCAAACATATTAAAACCAAATTTTAACAATATCATAGGTATTTTGTGCACAAATATATAAGAACGTTTTAAAAAGAACATTTAACATTATTTAAAAAGTTTTAAATATTTTATTTCATATATGTTTTATTTATTTCAATTTATAAAATTTATAAAATTAATTGTAAAATATGCGTAACATAATTCTTCTATTCTTTATTTGCAATATTTTCTATTTAACCAAATCATATCCTAAAAATGATGTTGATTTTGAATTTCGTCTTTTGCCACACAGTCGAGCACTATCACATGCAGGTAAAATTTAAAAAAAATTTACTCTTATTATTATTCATAATATAATATTATTTATATTTGTATATAGTCAATTGTATAATGACCATAATGTTTTTATTCTTCTTTTCCAAATTTTTACTATTTAACCAAATAATATTCTGAAGATTATAAAAATTATCGCTATCGTCTATTACCAAACAGTCAAGAAATAGATTCTACAGGTAAAGTTTTTAAAAATTTTTACATTTATTTATTACTATTCATACCTAATTTGATACATAATCAATTTCACAGAAATAATTCATAATAATTATTTTTTTATTTTTAAGGTGAATTTGTGTTTCATGATTTACACCAAGCAGCCGGTGAGTTTTATTTTTTTTTTATCAATTTTTTAACTGATTTTTTTTATTACTTTTTTTAAGAGACGATATAAGTTATCCACAATTTAGAGAAAGACTGCATATAATAAATTGCAAATGAGAAAAGTTCATTCAAGTAATAATTTAAAAAAAATAGTAAATTTAAATTTAAAAAGAAAATTTAAACTGCTTATAGGCAAAAATGCACAATTTTTTTTTAAATTTATAATTTTTAGTCTTATGCAGTTTAAATTTGTACTTTTTTTAAATTAAATTGTGTGGGCAACTGATACCGTCCCAAAATTATATTTTTGAATATAATATTTTGAATAATATTTCTTTGTTTACAGGATATTGCAGTATAAATAGTCTTATCGAATGCCTAGACTTGGCAAACTTTCATAGAGAAACACAATTACGATGTCTTTGTGAGTAAAATAATTTCTCATTATAAATCTTTATGAATAATTTTTATTTTCACATTAATCACTTAGATAGTTTACAAAACAAGACTAATTATACTCCTGAATAGAACCGTTTTTTCAATTTTTTTTTTCAGAAATCAAAAATCATAAAACATATTTTTTTAATTAAAATTATTGTTTGTTGAAAAATTTATTTTTAGTATTTAAAAAATACAATAGAGTTTCAAATTTATAAGAATAAATATTTGTTTAGAAATTAATATTCTACGAATATTTTTTTATCTACGAAAATAGAATTACTGATATTTATTTATTCATTTATTTATTTACTGATATAGAATTTTTGAAATATATTACTGTATTTATATAATAGTAATTAAATTTTAGGGGTATGTGTAACACAAACTCATAGAGATCCGGATGAGTTTGTATGCAAAAGAAATCCAGAAATCCAGGGACATTGCAAAGTGTAAATTTTGTATTAATAATAATAAAAGAAATAAATTTTTCTAATAATAGTTCATAAGTAGTAGAAGTGAATTATAGTCAGACAGAATTAAAAAATATTTCTTACCAGAGTTATTTGATTCTCATTTTAGTAAATATCAAATTTATCCTGATGCTTTTTTAACAATTTCTATTAAAAAGATTTAAGTTAATTTAATTTAATTTAAATTATCCTAAATAAAACGAATTTTTTATTTTTTATTAAATGTAAATAAATGTTATTCGAGTAGTAGATGCATGTTTCAGTCAGACAGTTTCAATGAAAATGTATAATTTTGTTGTAAGTAGAAAATGTATGTTTTAGTCAGACAATTATTTTATTCATGTAAGTTTTTATTATTTATTTATATATTCAGTTATTTAATTATTTCAAAAATTATAAGCACATAAGTAGTAGAAAAAATATTCAGCCAGACCTTTATAAAAGAAAAATAGATAAAAAGAATTATTCCTCTTTGTTACCAAAAAACAATTAAAATGTATCTTTTCTAAAAAAAATTATTATTTAAAAAAAAAATAAATAAATAAAAAGTACTTTTTAAAAAAAGTAAAAAGATGAATTTATGTAAAAAAGAGAAATAACACAGTAAATACAGTAAACTTTGAGAAAACACTATATTTCATAGATTTCAGACAAATCAAGTTGACAACATGCTTTACTGTAATTAAAATAAATAATTAAATCACATAGGTAGTTTGCTTTTATGTTTTAAGTAAACCACATAAACGTGACGCAAAGCAGTTAACAAGTCACATGAGAGAATATAACTCAAGTAAAACTCTTATACTCGAAAATTATTCATCATTCCGTGTAATTTTTTTTCTCCTCTCTATATTTTTATTTTGCATATTAAAACTCTAAAAATCATTAACACTTGTAGCTACAATTATTCGGAGAAAAGTATAAAACTATGAAAAACAAATTTTATCTCATTTAGTGTCAATTGAATAAAGAGGGAAATAAATTAAATTCATAAATTCGATAAAATATTATCAACTACATACAGTGATGAGTTTACCTACTAGAGACTAAATAAAACCTAAAAGAGTAAGAAAAATTTTAAAAAGTCAGTTAAAACTAAAAATTTAAAAAAATTAAAAAATACCTACTAAACACTACGAACAAATTAAAAAGGACAAAAACGACAACTAAAGAAACTAAAATGGCTAACTAAATTTGATAAAAAAAACCTGCTTGAATCTAAAAAAATTAAGAAATAAATTTACCAAAAACTACAAAAAACTAAACAGAACAATAAAATTTACTGAAAATTAAAAGAATATAAAAAAATCATGAAAGAATTACTAAAAATTAAAAACGTATGAAAAGCAACAAAAAATTTGTTAAGAAACCTACTAAAATCTAAAAAAAAGTGAAAAAACCAAAATAATATTTACAAAATAAAAACAAAATAAAACTATAAAAAATAACAAAATAAAAACTATAAAAATTTTAAAACATCAAAAGAAATTCACGAAAAACTACACAAACCTTAAAAGACTATAAAAATTTACTAAACATTTAAAAAATCTATAAGTAAAAAGAAATTTATTAAAAACCCTACTAAAAACTAAAAATATCTTAAAATCACAAAAAACTTACTAAAAATTAAAACAATAAAAAAATTGTTAAAAAACGCAACTAAGAAGTAGAACAACTGAAAAGACCAAAATAAAAATTTAGTAACTAAAAGAATAAGAAATAATTTTCTAAAAAATCTACTAGAAATACTAAAAAGACAAATAAAATTTACTGATAACTAAGAAAACTAAAAAGATAAAAAAATCTATAGAAAGCTAAAAAATACTAATAAAAATATAAAAAACCTAAAGAAACCAAAGAAACATTTTAATTTTGACAAATAAAAAAAACTAAAATGACTAAAAAAAATGTAATACAAATTTATAAATTCTGTAAACCAAAAAAAAATTTCCAAAAACCTACTAGAAACTAAAAAAATACAAAATGACTAAAAAATTTTACTAAAAAACTTACTTAAAACTATAAAAATTTAAAAAGACCAAAACAGAATCACTAAAAACTACAAAAAACTAATCAGACCAAAAAATTTATGGAAATTTAGAAAATCTGTAACTAAAAAGGAATTTATTAAAAAACCTACCAGAAACTAAAAATATCTAAAATGATTAAATGAAAAAATATACTAAAATTATTAAAAAAAATTACCAAGACCTAAAGAAACTAAAAAGATAAAAAAAACTATAAAATATGCTAAAAAACTAAAGATATAAAAAATAATTTTCTAAAAAACCTACTAAAAATACTAAAAAGACAAACAAAATTTACTGACAACTAAGAAAACTAAAAAGATAAAAAAAATCTATAGAAAGCTAAAAAATACTAATAAAAATATAAAAAAAAATTACTGACAATACTTGAAGAATAAAGTATGAAGAAAAAAAAGACTAATTACTAAAAACGTCTAGAATAGAAAAAAAACCAACTAAAATCTAAAAAAGACTAAAAAAATATTTACCAAAAACTAGTAGAAATATAAAAAACCTAAAGAGACCAAAGAAACCTTTTGAAAAAAAAACAAAAATGACTAAAGAAAAATGTAATACAAGTTTAGAAATTCTATAAACCAAAAAAAAAATTTCCAAAAACCTACTTGAAACTAAAAACATAAAAAATGACCAAAAAAATTTACTAAAAAACAAACTATAAAAATACAAAAATCTAAATACCAAAGCAAAATCCACTAAAAACTACAAAAAACTAAATAGACCAAAAAATTTATGGAAATTTAGAAAATCTGTAACTAAAAAGGAATTTATTAAAAAACCTACTAAAAACTAAAAATATCTAAAATGATCAAAAGAAACTTATTAAAAATTAAAACAATAAAAAAAATTTCTTAGAAACGCTACTAAAAAGTAAAAGAAAGACGAAAAAAATTACCAATAATTAAAAAAATAAAAAGACAAAAATAAACCTACAGTGAACTAAAATAATGAAGAGACCAAAATAACAGCTTAGTAACTAGAAGAATAAAAAGTAATTTGCTAAAAAATATACTAATATTAGTAAAAAAAATTACCAAGAACAAAAGAAACTAAAAAGATAAAAAAAACTATAGAATGCTAAAAAAAACTGAAGAGATAAAAAACTTACTGACAACAAAAAAATAAACTAAAAAGACCATAAACACCTACTACTAATTACTACTTATTACTAATTATTATGAATAAATAAATAAATTACTAAAAAAAAAATGTAGAATACCAAGAAAATCTACTAAACTCTAAAAGAAAATTGGGTAAAAATTATAAAAAAAAAGAAAACAAATCATAAATTTGCAGGAAAAATTTTTTTTCTTTGAAACAATAAATAAAAAATTATGAAATTTAATTAATTGACAAAAGTTTAGACGCGCCTCTATAAATTAAGAAGTTGCTTTCTCTCTGTTGTATATATATATTCGTGACTCATGAAGATAATAGCGAGTGCCTCTTGAAACCTCAGCTTCCGTTTTTGGTCCATGAAAGTGAGGAAGTGTTTGGGAGAGTGGGACCGAAATATCCTAATAGAATGGCAGAAGACAGCCTTAGATCGTAAAATGTAGAAACCAGCTGGTTTATGATCCGACTTCCTCCTCACAAAATTCTGCCAAGTCCACACGAACAGAAATTTACGAATTGCAATTCATCCCCTTTTCATCACAATTCACAATAAATATATCATTTCTCGATTTATTTTCATATTATTTATTTATTTATATTATAGTACTTAATAATAATTTGAAAAAGATATTTTCTTTTTGTTTTCGTTTTTTTTTCTTAAAAAAAATGTTTTTTTCAATTTTTATAATAAATTATAATTATAGGGGAATGTAGTCAAGGTTGGCCTACTGTCTAGGTAGGCCACTCGCGTTTTTTTGTCAAGTTCACTAGCGCCACCTACGCGCATTTTTGTCGAAGCTTGTCTTAGTGAAACCTAACTTTTTGTTCAATTACATTTTCAGAAAATCGAAAATTGTGTTTTCTGTGACGTCGGTACAAAAAAAGCTCAAAAAAAGTTTTGTGCATAATGTGAAAAACCATTAATAAAAGATAAAAAACAAATTGAATCGTCAAGGCAAGTATGCAGAAAATTTGTGGGACTCATGGTTGAAAGGAAAACAAAGTAAAAAATCGAATCCCGAAACGTATTTCTTTATGGTTACAACAATTCGGTAATGTTACTTACTGCCAAGGTCGGCCACTATGTGTTTAAAATGCGCAAAGTTGAGAACGAGCTACTTCATTTGCAAAAACTGCAATTCTGTATAACTCATAATATAATTGATCATCTTATTAATATTTTTATTTAATTTTATTAATATTTTAGTGCAAAACTTTTTTTTATTTAAATTTATTTTTTTATATTGTTTATTGTTATTATTTTGTTATTTCATTAAGTTACAAACTGTAAACAATAAAGAATCAATTTTCCGTAACTCCAAACATGTTATTTTATTTTTTAACGATTAATGCCCTTTGAATTTTAAACATGGCCGACCTTGACTGTAATGGCCAACCTGGACTACAAATTTTTTTTTTTTTAAATCTTTATAACTTTTTCATTTTTAAACCTGTCAATTTACTTTGTACAGAAAAAATGTTCCTATTAAACAGGACTTTCCAACCATATACTTTAATTGTCCAAATTCATTTTTAAAAAAAAGTTATAAACAAAAGTCAAAAAGGTGGCCGACCTAGACTATGTTCCCCTAATTACAATTATTATAATTTGATTTCTGCTTTATTGAATTCTATGGATTATAATTCAAATCTAATTTGACTCGAAGTGATTGATTTTTCCGACTATTTTTATTAATACTATTGAATTATTTTATTCTTTTATTATTATTATTTTTTTTTTCATTTACGAAAAGAAAATATAATTTAAAAAATATTTATAGTATAAAATACCTAGTAATTAATATATAAATAATATATATTATTATTATTATTATTATTATTATTATTATTATTATTATTATTATTATTTTATTTTTATTTTTATTTTTATTTTTATTATTTTTAATTAATTTTATTATTTTTAACC